TTCTGCTTTGATAAAGGTTACATCCAGGGAAACTTGCTGTGGGCAGATCTACGATGAGCTGGAAGTGACTCCATGGCACTGGGTGGATGTTCCTACACAGTGTACTTTTATGAAAACAACTATTCTCTTCTGTGTTTGTTTGCCAGCATCTCCTTCCTCCCTAAGAGGTATTTTTGTAAGCACTGCTATGCCAATTTTTTTCACATGGTGCAGTAAAAAATTAGTATAGTACTTTTAAAAACTGCCTCTCAATGGAGAAGGGCTGTGTTACCTGGGTAAAAATATGATCTCTTCCAAAAAGGTTTCAGCTGTTAAGCATTAATTATTTCACAAATGTAAAGGGCATGGCTTTGCAGACACTAAAATTTACAATCACTTAAATCATAAAGTTTGGATAGGAATAGGAAGAATAAGTCTTTAGGCCAAAACACTCTATTTTTAACCAACTCCAAACATCCCAAAGAAATCTCAAGGGTCCAGAGTACATCTTTTGTGAGAGGAGATTAACACACATCAAGATCATAAAGCAGTGTCAATGAGCATGAAATGTATCAAGACATACTTGAGCACAAAGGTACCAACTTTTTAAGTCTTAGTTTTTACTTTCACTGAAGCAGACCAGAGCCCCTGAGCAACATGGCCAATTTAGCGCTTGTTGCCATGTGGTGTCATCTTAGACGGAGATATAAGGATTGTTAACCACAATAGCAAGAATGTGGAAACAGCCCAAATACATTCAACGGATGAATGGATTGAGAAAACATGGTACATTCACACAATGGAATATTATGCAGCACTAAGGAATAACAATTTTGTAAAATACTATGTAACATGGGAGAGTTTAGAAAGCATTAGGCTGAATGAACTCAGTCTCATAAGGACAGATACTGCATATGACCATTATTGTAAAAATAGAAGGATAATTAGTAAGGTGTGTGTATAAATGTCCAGACAGGGAAAGGGAAAGGGGATAGAGGGATAGGAAAAGGGGAAGAATGGAAATGACTAGGGTAGTTGGGTGGGCATATTGTGGGGTGAATGTGGGATGAAAGAATAGGAAATATTCAATGGGGCCTGGAAATGATGGGATAAGAATAGGCATAGATTGATAGCAACTGATTTTATAAACTACAATGTATATGAATGATTGTATGAAACACAGTGCAAAGGAAAGATTGTATAAAATTCATTGTACATCAATTAAAGATAATATAAATGAATTATTGTATGAAAACCACCACCACCAATAACAAAAATACCCAATAAGAAAACAAGGAAATTATAACTGAGACACAAAAGGAGACTCGTATACCGATGTTTATAGTAGTATAATTCACAATTGTAAGAATTTGGAAACAGCCCAAATGTCCACCACAAACAAATGGATTGAAAGATTGTGGGACATTCACATGATAGAATACTATGTAGCACTCAGGATTCTGAATGATTTTGAAAAATACTACATAATATGGGAAAGACTAGACAGCATTATGCTGAGTGAACTAACTCAGTCTCACAAGGACAAATACTGAATAAGCCTATTATTTTAAAAATTGAAGGGTAACTAATAACATGTGTATGAAAGTTCCGGGAGGGAAGCAGAAGGGGCAGAGGGTGAAGAGGAGGAGAAATCATGGGGTCACAGAGTTTGGTGGGCAGAGGGAGAGGGTAAAGGAATTAGGACAGACCCAATGGGGACCTGGAAAAACAGAGTAATGGTGGGCATAGATCAATGGTGACTGGTTTGCCAACACAATGTGTAAGAATGATTGTATGAAACACAATGTGAATGAAGGAATGTGTGAAACACATAAACTAATATAAAATAAGAAAAAAACCCAATTGAGCGATTTAAAACATTTGACTTAAAAAAACAAAACCCAACAGAACTCACTTCTCTCCAACACACATGGGGTTGGAATTGACTTAAAGGCAGCTGGTTTGAGTTGGTTTTCTTGGGAACAGATAAACTCTAATTAGCCTTTTAAAAAGGGTTCAAAGAAATTTTACATCTTTTAATTTTTTAATAGCACATAAACTTTTCATTGGCAGTATGCTGAGGTCATGCTCTTGATGCAGTTAATGGCAACTGAGCAGTCAGCATTTCATTTCGGCTGGTTTATTTCTTAGAGGCTCTAGGCTAACACTGAGGGTGGAGGGAAGCTGATGTGTGACCTTGATAGAGGAACCATCACACCTGAGTGCTGGGCTGGTAATAATTAGAAAAAGAAGGTAGAGGTGAAAACTGCCATCA